GAGTAAAAGAGAGAGCACGAAAAATAAGAGAGAGCATGAAAGAGTAAAAGAGAGAACATGAAACAGTAAAAGAGAGAGCATAAAAGAGTAAAAGAGAGCATGAAAGAGAAAAAGAGAGCTTGAAAGAGTAAAAGAGAGAGTGTGAAAGAGTAAGAGAGAGAGAGCATGAAAGAATAACAGAGAGGACGAAGTTCCCTTTACGATACCAGAAATCTTCCTCTGTGCTGAATATTCTAATTCTCACTGGCCAATCTAGTGCAAGACACAAATCCTACAGCATTTACATACAGCCTGTAAGAATCATCACATTACCATACCGTGTTACACTTTAAACCCTAAAAACTTCTCTTTGGGCCCTTCTGCCCAGCCAGCAGGGTCTGCTCTGACCCTTGGACCCGACTGCAGGCAGAGGGGGTTGTTCCACCAAAAGGGGATTACCTTCAGCAGCCATGCCTTTGTTTTCCAGTTGTTCAGTAACCAAGGTACCTCAAAGCTTGCTTTCATTTCAATCTCGCTTATAGTTCCCATATTCTCAAAATCTTTTGCCAGGCAATTGTATTTATAAGGCTTTCCTGTTTCATCTTCCCCAGCACTCCACCGAGCTGGAAGCAGCTGCCCAGCCCAGACCTGAGCCCAGGTGTGTCCCTGCACCCCAATTTCCCCGGTGGATCCCAAGAGGAGCAGCACAATGGAGGGCTTGAGCAGGGGCCAGGCTGTGCTCCATCAGCTGCAGCTCCTGGCAATCCACAGGAGCCTCTGGAGCCAGAGACTGCATCTGCCTCTCCGGTTAATAGCCCTCAATCAATTTCTCTCCCACAAATTTGCCTAATGGCTTTTTAAAATCCCTTTAAAATCAACCCGGGGCCCGCTGCAGACGCCCCGTGGCAACGAATTCCGCCGCGTTATCACACCGAGCACTCGCCCCAGGGAACAGGCAAAGATTCCCGTCCTCCGTGCGGGGCTCCCGGCTGCCTCCCCGTGTGCCGTGGCACACCTGGAAGGAGCAGGCAGCACAAGTGAGCTCTGCTGAGCGCTCCCCAGGGATCGAGGAGGGAGCTGGGCAAGGCAGGAGAGGTGTGGGGAGCCTGTCCCGTGCCCCAGCCCTGCACGGCCCCAGCCCAGGAGCTCTCCCAGCTGAGGAACTGGTTCCGCCCGTCCACACCTCTGCCACCCCTCCCTGTGCCTGCCACCAGAGCCGGCTTTGGAGCCCAACCACCCAGAAACTCCAGCGGCATCACAAAACTCTGCCCAGCCACGGTTCATCCCTTTTGGGGGTGCTGGAGGTGACGAAAGGCAGTTCCACAGCCAGGAGGAGATGGGTGTCACCGGGAGCTGGAGGTGGGAGGGGGCCACGGGGGTGTCACGGGGAGCTGGAGGCAGCCCGGGCTGGGAGGGGGCCACGGGAGGGCTGCAGGGGCTGTGGAGATGGGGAAGGTGCCTGGGTGTGGCACACGGTTTGTGTTTGGTGGCAACATTTCTATCCCTTGTCCTTGAACTTATTCCCAGACTCCGCTGTGATAAAAGCCAGGGCTTGACTTCCCTTCCAGCCCTGCCTGGCACGCACGGGACAAGGTCACCCACCGTGGTGGCAGCTGGCACCGAGCTGAAACGGGGGCTGGGTGGCCCAGGGGGGGTCACGGGGGGCCTTGGCCAGGGCCAGCTCGGGGTCACAGTGACAGCAGGGACTCACCCAGGTGGGCTCAGACACGGGGCTGCAGCTGGCAGCACCATTCACCCTGGGGACAGTCAGAGCAGCCCAGGTGCTGGCCCAGCAGGACCTGGAGGTGACCCAGCAGGATCTGAAGGTGACCCAGCAGGACCTGGAGGTGACCCAGCAGGATCTGGAGGTGACCCAGCAGGACCTGAAGGTGACCCAGCAGGATCTGGAGGTGGCCCAGCAGAACCTGGAAGTGGCACAATGGGACCTGGTGGTGGCACAATGGGACCTGGAGGTAGCCCAGCTGGACCTGGAGGTAGCCCAGCAGGACCTGAAGGTGGCCCAGCAGGAGCTGGAGGTGGCACAATGGGACCTGAAGGTGGTCCAGTGGGACCTGGTGGTGGCCCAGCAGGACCTGGAGGTGGCACAATGGGACCTGGTGGTGGCCTAGTGGAACCTGGTGGTGGCACAATGGGACCTGGAGGTGGCCCAGCACAACCTGGAGGTGGCCCAGCAGGAGCTGGAAGTGGCACAATGGGACCTGGTGGTGGCCCAGCAGGATCTGGAGGTGGCCCAGCGGGACCTGGAGGTGGCACAATGGGACCTGGTGGTGGCCTAGTGGAACCTGGTGGTGGCACAATGGGACCTGGAGGTAGCCCAGCTGGACCTGCCCAGCAGGACCTGGTGGTGGCACAATGGGACCTGGAGGTGGCCCAGCAGGACCTGAAGGTGGCCCAGCGGGACCTGGAAGTGGCCCAGCAGGACCTGGTGGTGGCCCAGCAGGACCTGGAGGTGGCCCAGCAGGACCTGGAGGTGGCCCAGCGGGACCTGGAAGTGGCCCAGCAGGACCTGGTGGTGGCCCAGCAGGACCTGGAGGTGGCCCAGCAGGACCTGGAGGTGGCCCAGCGGGACCTGGAAGTGGCCCAGCAGGACCTGGTGGTGGCCCAGCAGGACCTGGAGGTGGCCCAGCAGGACCTGGAGGTGGCCCAGCGGGACCTGGAAGTGGCCCAGCAGGACCTGGTGGTGGCCCAGCAGGACCTGGAGGTGGCCCAGCAGGACCTGGAGGTGGCCCAGCGGGACCTGGAAGTGGCCCAGCAGGACCTGGTGGTGGCCCAGCAGGACCTGGAGGTGGCCCAGCAGGACCTGGAGGTGGCCCAGCGGGACCTGGAAGTGGCCCAGCAGGACCTGGTGGTGGCCCAGCAGGACCTGGAGGTGGCCCAGCAGGACCTGGAGGTGGCCCAGCGGGACCTGGAAGTGGCCCAGCAGGACCTGGTGGTGGCCCAGCAGGACCTGGAGGTGGCCCAGCAGGACCTGGAGGTGGCCCAGCGGGACCTGGAAGTGGCCCAGCAGGACCTGGTGGTGGCCCAGCAGGACCTGGAGGTGGCCCAGCAGGACCTGGAGGTGGCCCAGCGGGACCTGGAAGTGGCCCAGCAGGACCTGGTGGTGGCCCAGCAGGACCTGGAGGTGGCCCAGCAGGACCTGGAGGTGGCCCAGCGGGACCTGGAAGTGGCCCAGCAGGACCTGGTGGTGGCCCAGCAGGACCTGGAGGTGGCCCAGCAGGACCTGGAGGTGGCCCAGCGGGACCTGGAAGTGGCCCAGCAGGACCTGGTGGTGGCCCAGCAGGACCTGGAGGTGGCCCAGCAGGACCTGGAGGTGGCCCAGCGGGACCTGGAAGTGGCCCAGCAGGACCTGGTGGTGGCCCAGCAGGACCTGGAGGTGGCCCAGCAGGACCTGGAGGTGGCGAGGAGAGCGAGGAGGAGAGCGAGGTGCTGGAGGAGAGTCCCTGCGGCCGCTGGCAGAAGCGCCGCGAGCAGGTGGGAGCCGTGGAACGCCGGGCAGGGGGGCGCCGGGAGGCGGGATGCGGATGCCGGGGGATGAGGATGAGGATGGGGACGCCGGGCCCTGCGGGGACGCCGGGCTGTGCGGGGCTCGGGCAGCGCCCGAGGGTGCCCGGGGCACGGCGATGGCCGCGGCCGGGGGGCGATGCGGGGAACGAGTCCCCGGGGGGAGCCCGGTGCGGGGAGCCGGGCTCGGTCATGCCCGGCTCGGGGTGTCTCGGTGAGGGGAGCCGAGCCCGCCGTGTCTCGGTGTGGAAAGCCGAGCCCGCCGTGTCTCGGTGCGGGCTGTGCTGGTGTGGAAAGCCGAGCCCGCCGTGTCTCGGTGCGGGCTGTGCCCCTGCGGGGCCCGGGCTCGCCGTGCCCGGGTGCTCGGGCACCGGGCTCACCGTGGGCTCGGGGACCGGGCTCGCCGTGCCGGCCGTGGGGAGCCGATCTGATCGCGTGGCTGCTGGTGGGGGCCGTGTCTCGGTGCGGGCTGTGCCCCTGCGGGGCCCGGGCTCGCCGTGCCCGGGTGCTCGGGCACCGGGCTCACCGTGGGCTCGGGGACCGGGCTCGCCGTGCCGGCCGTGGGGAGCCGATCTGATCGCGTGGCTGCTGGTGGGGGTCTCACCGTGCCCTGCTCTGGCGTGTCTGGGGCAGGAGTCGGGCTCCTCGGTGCTCCCTGTGCCCCGAGCTGGGCTCGCCGTGCCCCGGTGTGGAGAGCGCACCGGGGCAGCCCGGGCCCGTCCCGCGGCTCCGGTGCCCGTGGGATCGGCCGTGCTGGATGCTGGAGCTGCTGGAGGCTCCCGGAGGGCTCTGCCGCTCCGGGTCCCGGAGCTGTGCCCGGTGCCAGCCCCACGGGTGGCAGCACGGTGACCCCGCAGCTCCGGCGGGAGCGGGGACTTGCCGGGACTTGGGGTGTCGGGGCTGCCCTCGGAGCCATCCCCAGGGCTGGAGAGCGCGGTTCCTCCTCTCCAGAGACCGGGCTCAGGCTGCAGCATCAGGAGTGCCTCCCCAAAAACGGGGCTGGAGTCCCCCTGTCCCTGCCAGGGCCCCCAGGAGCAGGGAGCAGAGCCGGGGGGTGAATCCCGGCCCCAGGCAGGGGCTGGGGCACAGACACGCCCCAGGCACTGAGGGGAAAGGCCCATCCAAGGCCAAACCCTTTATCTGCCCCTTATCTCCCCTGTCCCTGCTGAGGGGGCCGGCCCCAGCCTTGAGCTCGGCCTGGGCTTTGCTGCGATCTTGATAGCCTGCTCCTGGCTGATAACCGGCTCCTGGCTGATAAGCTGCTCTGCCCCCGTGTCCCTCGGTGCTGCCAGGTGCTTCCACACCCACACACCCCCTTCCCCCCCGTTCCTGCTGCCTCTCCCTCTCTGGAAGTCACCTTCCCCCCACCGGGGTGCCTGACCCTGACCCTGATGCAATGGAGGATATTGAGGAGCTGGAGCGTGTTCAGAGACAGGAATGGAGCTGGGAAGGTCTGGGGGAGCTGGGAAGGGGCTCAACCCAGCACAACCTGGAGGTGACCCAGCGGGACCTGGAGGTGGCCCAGCCCAGGAAACACCTCCTGCTCCCTTCTGCTGTGCCAGAAGGTGTTGTGTGCCATACCTGGAGCGCACTTCCTGTGTCACCTCGCCCTGCGGTCCCCTCGGTTAACCACGGCGGCCCGAGCAGCCGCAGCCCGGAGGGGGAGGACGAGCCCAAAGCCCGCCAGGCGCCAGTACAGCACGGAAGAAGGGTGGGACAAGGAATGGTCGGGCTAAAAGTAATCGGAGACGGCCAGAAAAAGAAAAAAAAATAAAAAGCATCTAAGGAGCCAGACTTCTCAGTGGAATGAAAACATCTGCTAGGCGCCGGGTGGGGGCTGGTCCGCACCTCTCGGGGAGCCCAGGGCCCGGCGAGGGGGTCCCCCCCCGGCACTGGAGCAGGGGCTACCGGGGAAGATGCCGCGGTGGCCCTGGCACGTCCAGGGCAGGGTGGGACCCCCGAGATGGGGCTGGAGGGGGCAGCGCCGGGGGGAGGCTGGGCTGGGCAGCAGCAGCGGCACGGGACGGGCCCGGGAAGGGGCTCCGAGGGGTGGGACAAGCCCCGGGGCCCCGGGAGGGGGCAACCGGCGGCTGCTGGGGGGGCGGGGGGAAGGACACGGACACGGACACGGACACGGACACGGACACGGACACGGACACGGACACGCACCGGAGGGCCCCGGGGCGGGTCGAGCCCGGCGGCGCATCCCGGAGCGGGGGCTGCCGGGGGTGCGGGAGCTACCGGGGGTGCGGGGGGTGCCGGGGCCCCTCCCGGCGGGGCGGGGCGTGCGCGGCCGCACGTCCGGAGCGGGGCGGGACGAGACCGGGCCGGCCCCGCGCAGCACCGGCAGAGCGCCGTGGGGCTCGGGGGGGTGCGGAGCCGTGCGGTGCGGTTCGGCTCGGCTCGGCTCTGTTTCGCTCCCTTCGCCTTGGTTCCGCTCGGTTCGGCGCGCATCAGCTCGGCTCGACGTGGTTCGGAGCGGATCGGAGCGGATCTAAGCGGATCGGGTCGGACTAGAGCCCGGCACAGCCCGGCACAGCTCGGCACAGCCCGGCACAGCCCGCAGAGCGCGGATCGCGGATCGCGGCGGGGATGGCGGTGCCGGAGCCGGACGCGCGGCTGGCGCAGGAGAAGGAGGAGGAGAGCGAGGAGGAGAGCGAGGTGCTGGAGGAGAGTCCCTGCGGCCGCTGGCAGAAGCGCCGCGAGCAGGTGGGAGCCGTGGAACGCCGGGCAGGGGGGCGCCGGGAGGCGGGATGCGGATGCCGGGGGATGAGGATGAGGATGGGGACGCCGGGCCCTGCGGGGCCGCGGGCTGTGCGGGGCTCGGGCAGCGCCCGAGGGTGCCCGGGGCACGGCGATGGCCGCGGCCGGGGGGCGATGCGGGGAACGAGTCCCCGGGGGGAGCCCGGTGCGGGGAGCCGGGCTCGGTCATGCCCGGCTCGGGGTGTCTCGGTGAGGGGAGCCGAGCCCGCCGTGTCTCGGTGTGGTGGTGGTGGCCCAGCAGGACCTGGTGGTGGCCCAGCGGGACCTGGAGGTGGCACAATGGGACCTGGTGGTGGGCCAGTGGGACCTGAAGGTGGCCCAGCAGGACCTGAAGGTGGCCCAGCAGGAGCTGGAGGTGGCACAATGGGACTTGGTGGTGGCCCAGCAGGACCTGGTGGTGGCCCAGCGGGACCTGGAGGTGGCCCAGCACAACCTGGAGGTGACCCAGCACAACCTGGAGGTGACCCAGCGGGACCTGGAGGTGGCCCAGCCCAGGAAACACCTCCTGCTCCCTTCTGCTGTGCCAGAAGGTGTTGTGTGCCATACCTGGAGCGCACTTCCTGTGTCACCTCGCCCTGCGGTCCCCTCGGTTAACCACGGCGGCCCGAGCAGCCGCAGCCCGGAGGGGGAGGACGAGCCCAAAGCCCGCCAGGCGCCAGTACAGCACGGAAGAAGGGTGGGACAAGGAATGGTCGGGCTAAAAGTAATCGGAGACGGCCAGAAAAAGAAAACAGAGTCCCCACCCGGGGGGAGATTTCCCATCCCCATGGGCGTGATGCCTGGGGACATGGGGACATGGGGACATGGGGACATGGGCTGGTGGTGGGTCAGGATGGACTCGGTGGGCTCAGAGGCCTTTCCAACCCGAACCATTCCATGGTTCTGTAGACTGAAAGCAATATATTGACATTGTTGTGCAGGGGTGGTGTGGACGCAAGGACTGCACCTTGTCCTCGCACACGGGGCTGTGCCGGGCCTGCCCTGCCCCCGGGAGGGATCTCCCTTCCCACTTTGCCTGTTTGTGGCCCTTTACTCCTCGGGGACGTGGGGCACGGGGTGCCACGGGCAGCTCGGGCAGCAGCAGCTCGGGCAAGGCGTGGGGAGAAGCAGCTCCTTCAGGTGGCCCTGGAGGTGTCCCAGCCCTGCCCGGCCCCTCTCAGAGCTCTCCTGCTGTTTGTGAGCTGCTGCTGGCACAGAATTTCCCCCGTGGGAGCACCGGGGCTCTCTCAGCCTTGCCTCGATGACCTCATTTGCTTTTCCCACCCACCCTGGGGATTAGGAGCAGAAGGGAGAAGAAAACGCGGGTTTCTGCTTTCCTGGGAGGTTTGGTGCCTCTGCTGGGGTGAGCAGGGCTGTGGGTGAGCCCCAGCAGCTCGTGCTGGGCTCACTCTGGCTTTTCCCTGCTGGTTTGGGTTCCCAGACCCTCCATGTGCCCGGGAATGGGAGCTGTGACCAGCAGGTGTTTGCTGCTCCCACCACGTCCGTCCGTCCGTGTCCGTCCGTCCCATTTCCTGGGCTCAGGCTGTGGTTTCCACACCCTCCCCCTCACCTCTCCCACCTCTGCTCCCTGCGGGAATGCCCTGGAGCAGCTCTGGGCTCCTGCAGCCCTTCCCTTGGGATGGGAGAGCTCAGCTGTGGCTCATGGAGGCAACTTTGGAGTTGTTCCTATAGCTTATTCCTCGAAGCCACCCTGGAATTGTCCCCTGCTCGTGACTCTGCTGCTGCTTCCAGTGGGGGATTTGCTTGGGAGCAGCCTTGGGGTTCAGAGAGGGAGGGGATGGGGCACCCAGAGGGACCGGGGTGGGATGGGGTGGGATGGGATGGGATGGAATGGGGCACCCACATTAGGAATGAGGAGTTGTTCCCTGGCAGGGTGGGCAGGGGCTGGGATGGAATTCCCAGAGCAGCTGGGGCTGCCCCTGGATCCCTGGAGGTTTTCCAGGCCAGGCTGGATGGGGTGTGGAGGAACCTGGCCCGGTGGAAGGTGTCCCTGCCCGCGGCACAGGGTGGGACTGGGGGTGCTGCAGATCCCTCCCCACCCAAACCACGCTGGGATTCTCCAGTCCTGACTCGGAGCTTTGACTCATCCAGCAGGGAAAGGAGGGAAAGAGGGGGAAAACAGCAGCAAAAAAAAAAAAAAAAAAAAAAAAAAAAAAAACCGGGGGGGGAAAAAAAAAAAAAAAAAAAAAAAAAAAAAAAAAAAAAAGAAAAAAAAAGATGATACACACCCCATCCCGCCTTATGCATTGCAGCCAGCTCTGCTGAAACGGCGGATTTCTGAGGTTATTTCGGGTTGCTCAGAGTGGCGATTTTTTTTTTTTTAAATTTNGGGCTGGGAGCTGCCAGGAGATTTTCCAGCACGGGGAGGGGGGATCAGCCGCAGGGCTTGGCTCCTGCCTTTCCTGCCATCTCCCTTGTTCCTGCCTCCTTCTGCCCCCCTGGCTTTCGTTTGGCGCGGGTGAACTTGGCAGGGTGACTTTGGGGTGACCCCGCCGAGCTCAGCTGGTCCCGCAGGTGGTGTCCGTGAATTTAGGGTTAATAGACAAGAATTCAGGGTGATATGCATGAATTTAGGGTTAATAGCCAAGAATTCAGGATGGTATCTTAGAATTTAGGGTTAATATCCAAGAATTTAGGGTTAATATCCAAGAATGCAGGGTGATATCCATGAATTTAGGGTTAATATCCAAGAATGCAGGGTGATATCCATGAATTTAGGGTTAATATCCAAGAATGCAGGGTGATATCCTAGAATTTAGGGTTAATACCCAAGAATTCAGGGTGATATGCATGAATTTAGGGTTAATACCCAAGAATTCAGGGTGATATCCATGAATTTAGGGTTAATACCCAAGAATTCAGGGTGATATGCATGAATTTAGGGTTAATACCCAAGAATTCAGGGTGATATCCTAGAATTTAGGGTTAATACCCAAGAATTCAGGGTGATATGCATGAATTTAGGGTTAATACCCAAGAATTCAGGGTGATATCCTAGAATTTAGGGTTAATACCCAAGAATTCAGGGTGATATGCATGAATTTAGGGTTAATACCCAAGAATTCAGGGTGATATCCTAGAATTTAGGGTTAATACCCAAGAATTCAGGGTGATATGCATGAATTTAGGGTTAATACCCAAGAATTCAGGGTGATATGCATGAATTTAGGGTTAATACCCAAGAATTCAGGGTGATATGAGGGAGTGGGATGGGATGGGACACCCAGAGGGAGCTGGACAGGCTGGGGAGGGGGCACTGAGCAATCCCTGTGCACCTGGTGGGACCCCAGCACAGACACAGCGTGGGGGAACTGCCTGGAGGGAATCCTGAGGTGCTGGGAAAGGCTGCACGTGCTCTGGCCACCTGCACTGGGGTCCCACAACCCCCCATGCCCCTTTCCCAGCAGGAAAGGAGGGGGGGTTCTGCCCCTCTGCCCCTGAGCCCAGGTGAGAGCCCACCTGCAGGGCTGCCCCAGCCCTGGGGACACAGCAGCAGCACCTGGAGCTGCTGCAGAGAGCCCAGAGGAGCCACGGAGCTGCTCCGGGGCTGGAGCCAGGCTGGGAGAGCTGGGGGTGCTCACCTGGAGAGGAGAAGGATCCAGGGAGAGCTCAGAGCTCCTTCCAGGGCCTGAAGGGGCTCCAGGAGAGCTGGAGAGGGACTGGGGACAAGGATGGAGGGACAGGACACAGGGAATGTCTGCCACTGCCAGAGGGCAGGGCTGGATGGGACATTGGGAATGAGGAGTTGTTCCCTGGCAGGGTGGGCAGGGGCTGGGATGGAATTCCCAGAGCAGCTGGGGCTGCCCCTGGATCCCTGGAGGTTTTCCAGGCCAGGCTGGATGGGGTGTGGAGGAACCTGGCCCGGTGGAAGGTGTCCCTGCCCGCGGCACAGGGTGGGACTGGGGGTGCTGCAGATCCCTCCCCACCCAAACCACGCTGGGATTCTCCAGTCCTGACTCGGAGCTTTGACTCATCCAGCAGGGAAAGGAGGGAAAGAGGGGGAAAACAGAAAAAAAAAAAAACAAAAAAAAAAAAAAAAAACCGCGGGGCAGAAATGCTGAGGCAGCACTTGAGGAGAATAAAGTGTCGTTAAAGAACCAGCGAGGGGGGAGGCTCGGGGGTGCTGCCGTGGGTTCCCACAGGTGGGAAAACGAAAACAAACCATGGAAAAAGAGCGTCAGAGCTGGAATCCCGCGAGGGGCGGGGGGGTTCCCATTTTTAGGCACTGCTGAGGTTTGCAGCTGGCAGCAGGACCCCGCTGGATGACTTGGGAAGGCTCCAGCTATGCAATATCTGCCACGCGGTTATTTTTAAAAGCTGCTTTGTTGCCAGCCGTCCCCAGGGATCCGGGCTGGGAGCTGCCAGGAGCTTTTCCAGCACGGGGAGGGGGGATCAGCCGCAGGGCTTGGCTCCTGCCTTTCCTGCCATCTCCCTTGTTCCTGCCTCCTTCTGCCCCCCTGGCTTTCGTTTGGCGCGGGTGAACTTGGCAGGGTGACTTTGGGGTGACCCCGCCGAGCTCAGCTGGTCCCGCAGGTGGTGTCCGTGAATTTAGGGTTAATAGACAAGAATTCAGGGTGATATGCATGAATTTAGGGTTAATAGACAAGAATTCAGGATGGTATCTTAGAATTTAGGGTTAATATCCAAGGATTTAGGGTTAATATCCAAGAATGCAGGGTGATATCCATGAATTTAGGGTTAATACCCAAGAATTCAGGGTGATATCTAAGAATTTAGGGCTAATAGGGTTTAGGACTTTAGCGTTAATAGCCAAGAATTTAGGGTTAATATCCAAGAATTTTGGCTAATATCCAGGACTTTAGGGTTAATATCCAAGAATTGAGGGTTATTGGCCAAGAATTTAGGGTTAATGTTCAAGACTTCGGGGTGATATCAAGGATTTAGGGTTAATATCCAAGAACCTAGGATGATATCCATGAATTTAG